GTGATACGCGTGTATAATTCGTTCAAATACTGAAGTAACGGTCAACGGTGTAAAGTTTTATAATATACAAAACGAAACGAACTAAATAAAATAAATCATTATCATAATATATTAACCTGGTTAAGCTGGTCGATGAAGCCTCGGTGGTAAAATAATATTATGGCAGCAGGCAAGAGGTGAACGCGAAAACTGTGGAGTATTAATAGTTAATACTTATAATAATTTCAATATCGACGACCACTCGATATCAATGTATCGTATGAGAATATATTTTACATTATTAACACGACCGTCGACCGACTATGATTGAGTAACGACCCGCGGCGAGGGCAATACCGGTGCACAAACAATACAGGTAATAACTAATAATATCGTAGAGCACACCACCGTCGAGACAATAATATTACAAGTGACAACTAGAGAGCAGCTCGCACTCGCACACACATACGACACGCGGAACGAGTCGCTTCAGTACTGGCTGGTACTAACCTGGTGAAAATCGTAAATGTGTAATAGGTATACGGTCGACGGAGGACGGACACGTCATATCGAACCGGTGGCGAACGGGGGCAGGTTGGCTGGCTAACTATACGTGACGGTACGATGAGCACGATAGTCGTATATTTGGAGGGGATGGACCGATGGGGGGGGAGGGTAAAGCCCCTCCACCACCTGCCAAAGTATTGACCAAAGCCCCCTAGAAAATATCATTGCTCTATATATTATGTTATTCTATTATACTATCGTTTATACGAGAATATTATTTTCTATATTTTGATTAGCATTTTCCATTTCACGTTTTTGAACACATGGCAATAATTAGGGACTGAAAAAGATCGTAGACGGTCAGTATTTCAAAAACTCTTAATTTAAAAACATTTTACTCGATACAAGTCTCCTGCTTATGATAATCTACCAGATTCTACCTATTGTAGTAGTACTTAGAGTACTGCGAGTTTGTATCGCAGAACGATTTTTTAAATTTCATTGTGTATAGTAATAATTAATTGACATACCAATAACTGTTTAGTCTCTAAAATATTTTTTTTTTTTTTTTTGAATTACAACAAAATAAATGATTTTTAAAATTTTTATTTTTGTTCAAACGAATAATTTTGTCAAAGTAAGAAAATATTCAAATGTTTATGAAAAAAAAGTGTTTAAAAGGTGATGATTTATTTATTTGTTCAACCTATCAGTGATATATTTCAAGTTTCTACGATTAATAGGTAGGTACTTTTTGAATAAGAACAACAAAAAATCAAAAATCGTTTGATTAAAAATCGCTATTTTACTCGTGAACGTACAATTTTGTCAAAACTGATAACTTCAAGCGGTCATACAAATATTTATTATTTATTATTATTGTAAACAAAACTTAAATGGAACCTTGAACTAAACTTCCGAATCTTAGGTATGCATTTTTAAATACAGAGTAATTTGCGAATTTCCGTGATTTCCGTGACATATAAAAATTTCAACTTCAAACGCTCATAAAAAATATTGTGGATGTACACTAACACAAGGAATCCAGTGAAGTTCTAAACATTTTAATAACCGTTCTACTATACGTTGTAACACAAACATGTTGATATCTTTTTTGTATCGAGATAATGGAGAATAATTATAAACTCAAATTTGACATCTTGGACAATATAAGACATTTTTCCTGCTATGATCTATCATTCAATGCACTATACTGCATGTGTACACCATTTGTAAATAACAAATATGAGTAAAATCTGAGAAACAAGCTCGTTCTCGATTTGTGATAAATAGTAATGGAAACTATTTTTTTTATTTAAAAAGATTAAGGACTTATAAATGTATGATTTGAGTTAGTTGACGATCTGTCATTTCATTCAGTTTTTCATATTATATTTATCAAAAAAAAAAAAACGTCAAATAACATTTATTTCTATTTTATATAAATATAATATTAGGGCCAAAGTTTTAATAAGTCAATTAAGAGGACTCTGAGGAGCTGAGTCCATACAGTTGTGTATGGTAAATTGTTTGATTTTGTTATGTAGCTTCCTCTTCACACAGAATTTGATCCCACTTACTACGCCTATGAATTATTGTGTGCCTCGGACCGAGTCTCCGATTCGCGTCACGCCAGTGGCAGGAAGGAACCACGGCTACCAATTCGGTGGTAGATCGGAGGGTAGGGGTGTCTACGTCCGTGTGCTATTACCATTATTTAGGTGTGTCACCGCTTCCGCATCCGGTCGTCCGGTGGCAGTGTAGCAAGGCTGGGCATTTAGTTGGGAGCACAGTTAGGAATTAAAATTTAGGTAAAATTTTAATTAAGTAAATTAACTTATTTTTGGAATCAACTATTTTTCTTACCTAATAAGTTACTTTGTAAACTTCAAAATTTTTTTACAACTCAACTGGATCCCCTTATTTTTGAGGTTTTTGGTCATTTTTTTGGAAAAAAAAATGTTGATGGAATTAGAACTATCTAAAAATGAATGTTTGTTTGTTTACTGGACCACTTTCAATAAAAGTCATATCAATCAATTCTTTGAACCTCGAGGATTGTAGTTGTTATTCGTTTTCTTTGTTTTTCTACTCATTTATGTTGCTTTATTGGGTGGCTCTGGCATATATTTTGTTTCAGTGTTCTCGAAAATGTAATACTTTTTTGTTTATATTTATGGTTACTATATAATATATTGGTTACATGTTACAAAAAATTTATTATGGTCAGATATAATTTTATGTACTGTATTATATTTTATAATTTAGGCTAATAAAACTATTCTTTATAAATGTAAAATTGAGTAACAGTTATTAAACATTAGGGTCAAAGGGCATTTTTGAGGATTATATAGATTGAACGTATTAAAAACATACTCTAACAATTTTGACGAAAAATACGATCGATAATATTTCAATTGATGCAAAATGGATAGATAGTGTAAGGAAGCCACGGGTAACAAATAACAGACTTGTATAAAACTAGCCACCCTCCCCTCATCTACTCGGGTGCAATGATGGTATTAAATACTATAAAATCATTGCGTGGTATGAAACAAAGTCGCTTCCCGCTGTCTGCAGTCTGTCCCTATGTATGCTTGTATTGTAGTCGACGTCAAACGTTTGTTTTTTTACTTGTACACGTATATAACTATTTTGTTTTATTTTGATTATGTACTTTAATTTATGTTTTTTTTTATTGTATATTATGCTATTTATAGGCACGACCCCCCTCCCTGCCGGCAACGCAGCACCCGCTATATCTGTATCAATTGCTAAATCTGAAATATCTTCGAAAATATTCATTTAAATTATATGCTGTAAAGGACCATATTGATCTGTATTTAAGGTACTTAATTGGATAAGGATTAATGCTGTGTTGCTTAAAATCGTTTCGTAAATAAGCCATTATTTCTCGTGAAAAGTAAAGGACAAAACATGGTTATTGTGAGTAATCCCTAGAAGATGGAAATATATCATAGCGGACTTTTTACTATAGTACTACTATAGTACATTATTTTGATATATCTCGCAGGGTTCAGCTAGTGTTTGCAATGTAAGCGCAGAAAAATGTGTTTATATGACACCACATTAGAAACCTTTAAAATGATCAGTGTTTATCTTCTATATTATGCAGGTTATATACATATAAACCTTTCTCTTGAATCACTCTATCAATTTAGAAACCCGCATCAAAATCCGTTGCGTAGTTTTAGAGATCTAAGCATACACAGGCACAGACAGACAGCGAGAAGCTGCTTTGTTTTATGCTATGTAATGAAGTGTATTGCCAAGGCTTATGGAATAAAAAAAAAAATTGTTAGACTGATTTTGAGTAAATTGAACCAGTTAATACAATTATAACCCTGTATTCGTTTATGTTTGCTTGCAATTGGTTCAAGAAAGAAAAAAATACTTATTACTATCCACCGCAGATGGATTGTTCTTCTCAGATTCATTGATCTCCGGGTAATACAGATAGAAGGTACATATAAATTATACAACAGAATAGTATCATGATTTTGGTTGTGTGCCTACGTATCGTAGACTGGCATGGATAGCTTCACGGTTTAAATAGTTACATTCTATTATAATTCAGTAAAATAATATATATTATATAAATAACTAATCTAAATATTTTGAAGGATTGTGATTGTGTGGTCAATTTTAATAATTAATACATTTTTAATAATTTAAAAATTAATAATTCATAATAGTCGAAACGAAATATTAATTTTGTAACAATACCTTATGAAAGTAAGATAGGCAACTTTCCTAGCACCAAACCGTAGTTTTAACTATGTACACCTAACGAAACGCCGTATTGGCTTTAAATATAAACAGTAAACACAGTCGATTTTATCCTAAAATCGATTCAATATTTTAATGTTGATGCTTAATGAATCATAAATAAAGTAAATGTCAACATCTAAGAAGCTAATAAAGGCGTGTTAACTATTTAAATGTAGACATAATGTAAATATAGCCATACATGCAGGGGCGGATAGGCATGATCTGACCGGCCCGGGAGAAATAGAATTTAGCGGCCCACGTGATCATATCCAAGATTTAACAAAATAATTTACTCAACTTTGAGGGAACCAACCCAGCATCCCCCCCATTTTTTGGTAGGAATAACATGAATTTAATATTACGCTATTAAAAGTTACTACTACATTTTTTGTTATTTTACTACATCACTGTATATTAAAGTGGTAATATTATATTATTTTACCATACCACTTTTATACTATATTATATTAGATTATTTTATAAAACTTATAGCACTAACTATAAATGTATAGCTGTACAAGGTAACTTGACAAATTCACTTATATTATTCTGGTTGTGCTGGTGAAAAAAAAAGTAACTAACTCTTTAAACATGTAAACATTTATCAATAAATACAAGTAGGCATGTATAATATTTTTAAACTTTTAATGAATAATGTAAATAAATAAGTATTTAATATAATATTAATATTAATTTTATTATTATATGATAAATATAATATATTATAAGATTAATAATGTCTTGAGTAGTTTATTTTGAGATGCAAATTTGTCAATAATTGTGTTATTTTCGAGTTGGTTTAATATATCTTTTTCTGTGGATATAATCATAAGTTGTTCCAGGTGTGAAGATGATAGTGTACTACGCAACCTGTTTTTGATGTATTTGAGCTTAGAAAATGATCGTTCGCAAGAAACTTGTGATATAGACAAAGTTAGTATATACTTATAAGCTAAGAATAATGAAGAATAGGCTGAACAATACAAAGAATATCTCAACAAAATTATATAACAGCAATGAATACAATTCGAACACTTGTTACAGGCATTTTCACTTATTGAATATTCTTTTTCGTCTAAATTAAAGTCATCTAAGTCATCTATATCTTCATTCTCATTTACATAACTAAAACTTATATTTTGTTTTAAAGAGTCAAATTTGTTTATAAAATCAAGAAACTCTTCTTTTAGTGAAGCTTGTGTTACATTTGGATTTATAAAATTCAATTTTTCACTAATTTTTTTCATTGCATTTTCTGGAAGCCCCTCATTTTTTATATCATCAAAGTTTTTTGGATCTAAACAAGAAATATCTGCACAAATTTCTCGAGATAAACTTCCATACCTAACTTTTATTTTATTGTTAATTGTGTCTATAATAGTTTGAAAAGTGCCTATTCTATATTCATCAATCGCTGAAATGTTTTTGAAAGAATCATCAGCCTCATAATTAAACATTTTTTTGGGAACTCTACGTCTTTTATTTGGAAATTCACTTTCAATAACAATATCAATTTCATCAAGTTCGTCATTCATATGTTCTATGAATATATTGGTTTTTTCATGAATTTCAGAAAATTCTACTTGCTGTAATTGAACTTCAGATTTTTTAATCATATTATATGCTTGTAATATGTCACAGTTCTTACCCTGGAGATATTTAGATAAAGGTCCTGTAATACTAAATATTTTGAGAAACACCATTGCTGTTAAAATTGTCTCATATTTTATGAAATTTTCTATGAATCCTGATGCTTTAGCTCTAGATTCCGAGTCATTTTGTACCGAATCTTTAATTGTTTTCATTACTTTGATAAGGTTTTTAAATAGTATGCCATTAAAATTGTTAGTGCCGAATAGTCCAAAAATTTTTTTGAGTGCTACTTCCTTCGCCCACCATCTCGTTTCTCCAATTAAATTGAGTTTCATTTTAGTAACTATATCATTCCAACGATCCATACGTACATGTGATCGTCGGATGAAACTAGCTGTGCTATTGAGTAGTTCAAATAAGTTTGCAGCATGAAGTCCGCTACTAGTGACATCTTGTAATACTAAATTTAGAATGTGTCCCACACACCATACATGCACTTGATTAGGAGCTAAATCTTCCATCTTTTTAGCGAATCCTGAGTATTGTCCTTGCATATTGCTGGCCCCATCGGTTGAATTCCCAATACAATTATTTAGTGAAATACCTTTTGATTGCAATGTTTGAACCACTAAATCAGCAAATGCTTGACCAGTTGTTGTTGTGCATTTTTTAAATCCTATAATACGTTCATACACTTTATCATTTACGTATCTTATGATTATAGAACACTGATCTGACACACTGACATCCTGCGTCGTGTCTATTTGTATAGAATACATTCTTGCTTTTTTTATTTCTGACACAATTGTTTTAGTTATAAGATCGGAACATACTTCTAAGATGTTGTTAAAAGTATTTTTGGATAAAAATGTTATTAATCCACCACCTTGTTTACTGCCTTTGTCTTTGATCTTTTCACTCTTAACGATTATTTCATGAAGGTATGATTTTAAAAGAGAGTCATATTTACTTAAAAATAAAATTATCTCTAAAAAGTTACCATGATCGATGTTTGGATTATTTAATGTGTATGCTGCCTCGTTTCTTTTTCCTCTATATGCCAAACCACATTTTCCAATGAGTTTTACAATATCAACAATTCTTTCAACAATATTTCTACGTCTCTCTATTTGTTGCCCTCTGATATCTGTGCAACCGTAAATAATCATTTTCTTAATGTCTTTACCTTCTTTTGTCATAAAATGACTATTGACACAATCTCTATGGTGAGCGGAGTTTTCGTGCTCTCCAATTCTCAAATAAATATGTTGCCAATCAGAAGAACCCTCAACAAAAGTATTTTGCTCTCCTTTTTTGCCATAAGCAATACAAATCGTGCAAAATAATTTTTTTAATTCTGTAGAATAAGATAACCATATACGTTTATTATTTGCTGAATAATAAGCTTTTTGTGGATTGAAGGGAATATTGTCGTTTGGTTGACAAGGATGAAATTCGAAGAAGTCCTCAATATTTTGATACGTTGGCTTTTTAAAATAATCAAAGGCGTCAGGTTTATTTATTGCATGTTTAAGATCAATGTCAAAATTATTTTTTCTTATTTCGTCTTCATCTAAAATATTATCTTGTTTCTTATTTTCTTTAGCCAAATAATGTTCTTCATAGTTAATTATGTTGTTATTGGGGATATTATTACTTAGTTCACCGTCAGGTCGAGATTTATAACTGTTAATTTCAGTAACCGAAGATTGAATTGGTAAAATTGCATTATCCTCTTTTTCAGTATCCAAGGATTGATTTACTAAAACTACATTATCCCTTTTTTCGACGTTCTTAAACATACTATCCAATTTTAAACATGTTTTGCTCTCTTCTAATAACTCTTTTCGTTTTTTATCTCTGTTCTTTTCTGCTCCCCCTTTTCTTTTTGATTTGTTTTGAAGCATAGTTATCTAGAATATATTATCATATATAGCGTTTAATTTTTGAAATATTTCATAAAAACATGAAACACTGACCTATATATTGGTCTTACCTATACCTTTACTCTATGTTTGGTAGGAAATAGATTATGAACTTATTGGATAATTTATGTAATACGGTTTCCAATCACTTTACTTAATTTCTCAAAATTCACATACACTTACCAACCAGAAAGTTTTTCATACAATACATAATAAATAAGCACAATATGATGTGTACCAGCTTATAGTGTAAATTATAATACGAAAATGTACCTACTTGTCTAAACTCCAAAATCCAAATAAACTGGTAGGTTGTGGTTATATATTTTTCTAGATACAGTGGTCAGTGACAACAGAAAGCCAAAAACTGAATGACGTAGAAAATAGTGTCTATACTCTATTGGCCTAATGCTTAGTTGGAAACATTTTACTGTAACGTCCTGTGTTTAATAATAATAATTATTATTTAATATTTATATTATCTAATGACAGCTGCAGTTGCGGGTCAATACGCAGTACGCATAACAATAATACCCGAAACCCGAATTCCAAGATAAACACCATTTAGCGGTGGTTAGCGCGATGATGTGAGATTAAAGTGGACTTCCCCACAGCTCAGTCATACAACGATAATTATAGACTTATGCTAGATTTAAATAAAAATATCAGTATTATAGTATTTATTTACTTTTATTTGTATGTATGTATATACAATGTACATGTATAATAATTTAATAGAAATATTTTTCATCGGCCCATTTTCGTCAATATAAGCAGCGGCCCACCGGGAAAATCCCGGTGTCCCGGTGGCCCTATCCGCCCCTG